GTACATTCGACTCCCTCCTTTTTGTAGTGGCATTCTCGAGCAGAGTATGTCGGACGCCGTTTGCAGCCCGGCGGCAAAGGTTTGAATTGTAGATGTGCCATTAGTTCTTTTAAGTTATATAACAAAGTCTGACCTCCACTTTGTTTTGCGGTGCTTCGGGGTGCGCGCTTGTTGAACCTCCAACGGGAGGGGAAAGATCCGGATCCGATCCTGCTCTCCTACATCCCGGCCCTGAAAGCAATCACCGACATATGTGCGGATGTAAAAAACAAGAAGGGTTTCGTTGTCATACCCCAAGTGAGCGTTGCTCGATTTGCGAATTGGGGTCCCAACTCTTTCGACTTGTTGAAAGCGTCAATGATGATCAGCTGGACGACAAGTTTTATTGCTCAATCCTTTGATTCAACAAGTGGAGAAGTTGTTGCATTGGAAAACCGAGAGTGCCAGAAGTTACAACATCGTGCTCTAAACGCCTTGTATTTTTGCTTAGGTCACGGTGAAGGAAGTCAGGCACGGGCCCAACAACGGGGTGACGGTGATCACGGAGTACGAACACCCAAGCACCGGGACCTTCTGGGAGAATGCTCACAACGCGGTGAGTTGTGATCGGGTCAGCCTACCACTTTTGTGTCGAAGCTGCCACGCATTATCTCAGAAATGTTGGATAGCAACAACATGTTCAAAAGCAACTGAATCGACGGGTTGACAAACCCCGCATTTCCCGTGTTGATGTGGTGAAAGAAGCCTTGTACGAGGCCCAAGTCGTTAGGGTCCCTGGAAAAGATGAGCGCGAATTTCTCCAGGAGGGCCATCATTTGTTTGCGCTGGCTGGTGTCCAGGTTGTCCGCCAGGCGGATTTGAGGTCGGACCGCCTCCCAGTGGGCACGCCGTTCGGGGTCGCTGACGTCAGCATTGGCAGCGGGCGGCGGGGGAACCACCGTGGTATTGACCGTTGGCGTCTCGTCCGCCGCTCGGGAGGATTCGGAAAAGTTACGCTGCTCAGCCTCGGTGAGGTTGACGATTTGAAGTCCGCGACGACGACGAGTGGCGATTGGGAGAAGGGCTTCGTTTGCTTCGTCCACCGGGTGCAGCATCTCGCCGTAGTTGTGATGTTCAAAAACCTCCGTGTAAAGTTGTGCCAGCATGGCGACGCGCGCGCGGGGAAGTAGCTCGTGCTCAAGACAGAAGCGAAGCAAGCGTCGAGCTTCCGCCAGGGTGTGGAGTACCATGGCACGAGTAATTGGCTTGCCTGTAGTCGGGGGTCCTTCGGTCGGTAGTTCTGAGGTGACGTCAGGGGGGTACGTCTCCGTTACGCCGGGGTCTCCACAGGGGCGACGCCAGGGTTCGCCAAGGGGGAGCTGCCGTCGGAGCTGGTCGCTTGGGATGCTGTTGAAGTAGACGCTGACGTTTCAAACAAGTCTGAAGACGGCTCGTCCGAGCTGGGGTCTGATGACCCGCTGTCGTCAGAGATAGCCACCGGAGGCGCCGTGGAGGTATCTGATGACGTCAGCGGGGAGTCGACGGGCGGTCCGTCAGGGTCGGGCTCTCCTCCGGGGCCTCCAGGCTCGGCTTCAGTGGTCAGGCAGTCCGGTGCTTCGATTTGGTACACGACTGGATCGGTCAGCGTTTGTGCCACCGGCGCCTGGTAAATGAGTCCGGTGGGCGCGCCTTGGACCTTGGCTGACTTCAAGTAACGGCAGCGAGCGCCACGTTTGAGGGAGCTTGAACCGGAAAAGGTCCGTTGAGTAATCAATGACGCCAAACATGGCGCGCAGCGTGCCCACGCCAAGGAGGATCGGATAGCGGAAGCCTTCAGCCACGATAAAGCGGGTGCGAACGTTGAGGTAGCGTCTCCCCTTGCGGCTCCTGGCGCTGGTGACGTGGCAGGAGGTGCTATGGGGTGTTGAACCTGAGGCCTCTCGCGAGCGGCCTGAGTGACGTCAGCCCTTCGGTAGGCTGCCCACTGCTCTTCAGCTCGGCGGTGCTCCTCAGCCTCTCGGGCTCGGGTGCGTTGCAGGGCTGCCTGGTGCTCCTGGTACTTGGCGAAGCGGGTGATCTCGTCTGAGGTGAGTTCCACCAAGTCCTCTGTTGATGGTGCAGTCCCGGTGAGGTTGGAGGGGCCTGCTTCTTCCGAATGGACCTTCCCTCGGCGGAGTCTCTCTGCTTCGAAAGGCCTTCCTCCGGTGGGGACTCTTCGCGAGGAAGTGGATCTTCCGGGGGGTCCACTGCATGGCTCCTTGGCGGTGTTGAACCTCCATGGGGCTCTCGGTCAGGGGGATCCGCCAATGGAGAAGCAGGGGAAGTGTGCTCCCGCTGCTGCTCCGGTCCTTGATCGCCAGTGTTGTCCCTTCTGCGTCCGCGGGTGCCGGGGCCCGCCATGTTCCTTTGCTAAAGCTCAGCACAAAACAATTCCGAAGAATCCGGTCCCTCTGATACCAGGAAGACCACCGGAACGCTGGGACCACTAGCAATTCACAATAAACACCACTCCTAGTTCCCACTCCCGTATCGCTCAGAGTTATACTAACCCACAGCTAACTCTCAGCGTAACTCAGCGTGGAGCTACAGACAATTTAACTATCGATAAGCAGGCAGCGGAATATAGCGTGGGGCCCATGCAAAGCTAACCGGACAAGTGCGATACTACCGAGAAGTATTGCACAGGGGAGTGTCCCATACCACTCCAGCTAGCAGTCATGTGAAGTAACGAATCGAGACAAACAGTTACAACTCGCACAAGCTCACCACTGGCAGTGTCCCCGTTGACTGGGCCACTGTGCATTCACCACGTTGCAATGTCGTACATTCGCGGTGAAGTCTGATCGAGCTCAGAACCAAGTGATAGGGCAGGTTGCGAGAGGGTATGAGGCTGAGAACGTCGTTGCGGGGCTTAAGGCGTCCCGGAAGGCCTGACAATCTTACACCTATGCAATACGGCAGAAACGCCAGCCAAACGCTACGGAGACAAGTGTCCCAAACCAAAACGCTACTAGAAGCAAGCGCCTCTCAAACAAGCAATCAAACAAGCAATCAAACAAGCAATTCCGCGGAATCCACAAAAGGAAGGACGAAAGGAGGAAACCGAAAAAGAGATCAACTTTTGTAGATTTTCGCTTCAATTGGTTGTGTCCATTTCCATGGGCTTAGGAATCACTACGGGTTTTGTCGAGGACGAAGCCTTTTCGCGCCGCTGCGCTTAAAGGAAACTCTTATCCCCGCTGGCGTGGTTGATGTCGTCAAAAACGAGGTCAACTCGCGCAACATTTCTTCCTGAAGAGTAACCAAACTTCTTCAGTTGGGTGCGCACTATGGGTTCGGCGTAACATTGAAACATCGTTAACCAGAAACGCTGGTTATCTTACAGGCGATGGACATCCTACTGGAATTTGGTGGACGTATTAGACTGAGGTGCTCGCAGAAGAATGCGGTGTGACCTCAGCAGCAGCAAGTCGTGCACCTTGCGGTCACCGGCGCCGATCAGAACCGCGGGTTTGCGCAACGGTTATCGTGGCACCATGGCGGCCGCCAACCGCGGTGAGTGTGTGGAAACTGGTCAGGACTCTACGTTCCAACGTGTTTCAAAAAAGCTGCTTCGAGCGTTTTCAGTGAGGACACATTGCAAAGCCCTTCTTAATGTCAGCGATCTGATTGGTATGCTCACCGGCAAGCTTGGCAAGCACTTGAGTTCCCAGCTGTGCCACGTAGTCCTGGATTGTGGTGCACGCGATGGGCCGGCAGGGGTGGTGAGTTGATCCAGAACATTCCGTCGATAATACAGGCTTTGACGGAAGGGTAGTGGTTGAGCAGGCAGTCATGAAACGTCTTCTCCCCCACAATGTACCTGACAATAGCATTAGCAATTGTGCCTTTGATACATTTGTACCACCTCTAGTTGACAAAATTTACCAACCTGCATGATTGGCTATGCTCGATTGGTTGTGATCGATCGGACTGTGGAGCCCAAGTTGAAAGCATTCCTTCTAGTGTGAGCAAGAGTAGTTTTAGCTCGTAACAGCGGCCTTACCTGATGAACTTGCTCTTTGCTCCTTTGCGAAGGCTGCCCTCGGGTGTAAACAGAGCCTAAGCAATGGGGTTAGCTTGGAGGAAGTTCTTGTCATATGGCAGCCCGTTCCTTGCACTGTCGTAGAGGGTTTTGATGGCTTGGAAGTCTCGGGCAAGGTCTTGCTTCCTATCATGTCGGTTTTTCTGTTTCCTCGCTGACTCCGCAACGTACCCGTCCAGATTGGTCTTCGGGTTCACCCTCCAGCGCAGCGACATGGGCACTCGGAGCACTGTGTGCTCTACGAAGATGCCGAGGTGCTGCCCCCCTATGCCCCGGAATTTCAGCAAGTCCTCCTAGGAGTCCTTGGTGGCAACCGTTGCTTTGAACAAGTGGCCCAGCCTATCTTGCTCCGGTGGCACCAATTCAGGTGAGAGCCAACCGTGTTCGAGGAGATGGTTTGTCGCGTTTTGAATGTTGATTTCAGAGTAGCGTTGGGTGCCCTCGTTGCTACTTTCTTTGTCGTCCACCACGTTACGCCGCCCCAGTCCGTCGACCTGCTGGTGCACGTTTTTTACCGCTTCTCCTATGTAGGGCAGCGTGTTTGTCATAATTTGGAGGTTTTCAGAGCTAACGGCGTTATGCGAGGCACCCTTGACGTTTAGGTTCACCAAGCACTCGTGGCACTCGTCTTTTCCAAGACACACGTGCGGGCGGCCAGAAAGGTTTGCAACCCAGGCTCCATTAGCTAATGCTCTGACTACGTAGGAGGGCCAGGCTTGCATGTCCGCCAAGTGAATGGGCACCAGCTGCTGGTAGTGCGTCCTGTCTTGCGATCTAACTAGAGGGGCGAGCTTTACGTAGACTGCCATTTTCAGGTTCCAGTTGCCCGTCCGAATCGCTAGGAACAAAGACACGTACGCAAGCCCTTCTTGGTGAACGTAGTCCCACCAAAACCGCCACGTTTTCTTCGATTCGGAGGCTTTTTTACCCCAAACCATGAAAGCAACATAGAGGCCGTCCAGGTCGACCCCTAGCGCGTCGAGCACTGCTTGCACTCGCGCGGGAAGCTCTGCCTGATCCACCGTGTCCCCGTCCGCAGGTGGCCCAGGCCTCTCCGCCCTCCGAACCTCTTCCTCCAGCTCCGTCGCCGCAGCAGCGTCAAGGAAAGGCAGGCCTCCGCTCTTCCAAAAGAGCTTGAGCTGGAAGCGAAACATCGCCTCCCATACCTGACACAAGTGAGTCGCCAAATTTTATCATTTTCGACTTATTTTGGGTGCGTTACAAGTGTCAGCTGTCCTTGTAATCCGGATTAACAGGACGTGGCACGCTGAATCTGAACGGGTAAAGCAAGAAGATGGGGGTTGCGGATTCTGAAAGTAGAACAAAACGGCGTTGAAGCGTACTGAAGCACCCAAGCCTCCGTGGAAAATAAAGTATGTGGGAGAAATGGGATTATTACCCGGAGCTTGAATAGGTTGTTGCGGCGGAAGTTGGTGCCCTCTTTCAAAATTGTCGCGTCATGGGGGTAGCCCATCAGGGGTGCAAGGTCGATCAGGCCAGCGTCGAAGTATATTTTTTTGTAGACCGGATGCAGATTGAGGCAGAAGTGCCAGTCGCCAGGGTAGGGTAAGAGCCAGGGGAAGAGCGACGGGTGTTCGTTTTTGAGCTCGACCATCATTTTCCAAGTCTGCTGGTCCCCCGCCACAACCAGATGCTTCAGACGGCTGCCCACTTCCAGGGCACGAGCGATGCGGAAAATGGATTCCGACAGCTGTTGCTTGTCACTGGCTGGCCTTCAGATCGTACGTTCCCACGTAGACAACTACCGAAGGCTCATGCCTAGCTGTAGCTTCTGCGGCCAAGCTGTCTCGCAGGCTCCATCGTAGCTCTCCTTTCACCGCCGTTCTTTCCCGTTTTACCACCTGCCGAAACAATGTTTGTGATTCTGCTCCCACGCCGCCCGATATGGTTCCTTCATCCCCACAATGTCCTCAACCGTTAAGCCTTTCCCTTGCAGGGTTTCGAAGGGGCTCCGATACGACTGCCGAGCGTCGAGCCGGATGCAGCCGGGGAGACTCTCATCGGGCGGCCGATCGATCCACTTGTCCCCCTTGGTCAAACTCCTCGCCGTCTGTCCTTCATCTGCGCCTCTGTGAAAATAGGTATGGCCGCGCGCTCCCCCCCCGTCCCCTCCGGTGGCAGCTGAATTGACTTTTGTGCCGTGATTTGGACGGTTGTCACGTGCATGTCCGGGGCCATCTTGCCGTCATATCGGAAGCTAGAGGAAGCGTTCTTGTCGAGGTTATCTAGGCTGGCTACCACAAAGGCCGTCTCGTAAGCTGGGGGCAGCTGGCGGTATGGACCGTCCTTTATTATCTGTTTACCCCGGGCAGTGACGTACCTGTCGAGAGTGCTTTTGCTCACGGTCGCCCCCAGGCGGTTCAGGGTTTTCATTAAGATTGAGGAGCCACTTGTCGATTGCACCAAGGCCGCCAACGCCACTTGCAGTGGGTGCTTTGCTTCCTTGTTGGCCGAGAAGCACATGATCGAGAGGGCAAACCAAACCCGAACCCTTCGTTTATTTTCTTTGACTGCATTCCCCTGTTTTCGCTGCCCCAGCCGCTGCGCATCGAGGACCGCTTGCTCGTTCCAACAGAGCCTGTCTAGAAACGCCTAAAGCTGAGGGTCTACTTTGGCAATCTCTTGCTCAAAGTTCAACTTCCGAATGTCAAACTCGCCCATCCCATCCGAGTCTCCGTTGTAATCCTTTCTGAGCCGCCTCACTTCCCTTTGCAGGAGCTTATTGAGGTTCTCCGCTGAAGGCCTTCCCTCCAGCGTTGCCCGCTCCGCCACCAGCTCCTTTTTCAAACCCTCGATCTCTCTCTGCAACCCGTCCTTCTCCCGCTTCGCTGTGCTCAATTGCTGATGCAGCAACTCCACCGGGTCAACTGCCTTGCTCAAAAGTAACATGCCTGCGTTCACGCATTGTGTGGATGCCCACGAGGCTTCCCAACTTTGCGGAAACGACCGCAACCACTCGTTCCGCCCTGACTTGAGTTTCCTCTTCCCCTTCGTTGTTGAACAGGGCAGCAACTTCTGCCGCGGTCGTCGTCTTCCCGCTCTCCACCACTTGTAAGACGTGCAAGCGAACTCCCTCCTCAACGTCGGCTGCAAGAAGGGTAAGGCTTTAGGTAACTTACATCCAGTTTACATGGTTCGATCACTCTTCAGCCCGATTCAGAAGTTTCGTAACCTAACCCGGATGACGTGGCAATCTAACCCGGTTACGGTTCACACTTTATTGGGTTGTTTCCTTTTACCTAACCAAATTGAACACAACCCTATATAGAATAAATTAGGCCACTAATGTGCCAGATCAAGGCCTCTTGACGCCTGTCCGTAGCCGAGCTGAGCGTCCGAGCGCCTAGCGCGAGGTCGCGGGTTCGAGCCCGACTCCATGCATTTTTTGCTTTTTTGCATGTATCACTTTTTGATGGGCAAAACTCGCGTGCTTCACAAAACGGTTCGTTATCAATGAATTGGGGGTTGACACGAGACTCTTGGAATTTAAAATTCAAAGCGTTCCATCCTCGACGGAACGCGCGCGGCGGACCTGTGACTTTGTACGCCCGCACCACCGGCTTTCGAGTACGGTTCTTCCGGCGAAAGCCACTGGGGAAACACAACAAGCCATTGTGTTCACAAAGCACCATTGAGACCGAGAAGAATCCATTCGAGGTGTCAAGACCGGAGCCTTACCGCACAGGGGTCACCACAATTCGTGGCAAAATAAGGCCATTTGGCACACGTCATAGTATTTTATTGCCATTTTTGTATTGGCCACCTCACATCAACTTTCAAGGTGCTTGCACCTCAAACATCTCATAATAGGAGTTGGCTAATTTTCCAGATTTTGAAACCGACTGAGAATGGCCCCAATTGCATGTAGGGTTAATAAGTCCACGTTATAAAACTTTTGAATCGGGGTGTATACCTAAAACGGCATCTGTACTGAAAGTTTGACAAGCTCTTAAAGGGCAAACTAGAAGCGTCGTTTGCTAGCAATACAAGCAACGATCCTTAGGTTCCCACAAGAACTGACGTGCTTCTGAATTCATGCTAGGGCCCAAATATGCTTGCGTTTTCAACTTGAGGTCACATACTTGGCAGCTTCCTTGATTGGCTCTGTCGTTGGAAGGCATCGCTGGATTTTGGAGTAGGTTCCGATGCCGAACTTGAGTAGGCGTTCTCGCGAAGGGTGATCCAAACGCTCGTTGGACGGAACTCGACCGATCTCCGGCTGTGCTGCCGTTCACAGTTGCCTGCGTGACTGTAGGCTGCGGTAGATTCGACTCACGCCCTCCGTCGTTCTCTATCCGGACTCTCTCCTCGAGGACCTGATATGGACGCCTTTGGTTTCTCTCCCCAGGTTCGGAGACGCCATGCCCGCCGCTAAAACCGGGGAGAACTTCACGGCGGGCCCCCCAAAATCCGAAGCCAGGTCGGGCCTCCGCTCTTCCGGAATTGGGAAGCCGGAGCCTAACATCTGGAGCCGTGCATCCACCGGGGCTGGCCGTAGACGTTCGGAGATCAACGGCCCTCCGAAAGTGCTTGCGTCTGCCGGTCGCCGACGCTCCCCTCCCAGCCAAGGTACGTCCTCCCAAGCCGGCTGTCCTCTCCGTTCGTGAGAGCCATAGAGGTCAGGTCGACGAACGTTTTCTGTAGCTTGGCCGTCTGCAAGTAAGTGGTGTTTTGGATCCTGTTTTGAGGTGTCTTTTGGAATGTGACTCTGTGTTGCAGTCGGACTCACAAACACAAAAACCCGATGGAAAGAAAGGACCAGGTCAAACTCGTCGGCATGTGAAAAATGCTATAGCAACCAAACCCACGGGTGACCACTAATTGAAGAGTATCTGGATGAACATATAAAACCTTTGCAGTGCGCTTACGTGTTGTCCGTCCCGATGATGCAGGCCAGCTCTGGAGGCTCGTCTGGTGCATCGTCTGCCCTCGCCACCTGTCCCTCGCGAAAAGCGGGCTGCCCACAAAGTCTGCCGGTGCCTGTCCGGCCTCCCATTCCACCCCCCCGCCCCGACCTCCGAAGTGCTGCTCCCTCCCCCCCAAAAAAGGGGAGCCTGCCGATCCTGCCAACGGGGTGAGTCCAAGCTGCCTGGCCCAATGGTGGTGCGGCACCCCCCCCATACCGCCTTGGAACGGACCAGCCCCGGATAGGCCCGACAAGGTTACTCCTGGTTGCCCCTCCAACTCCTGCTGAAAACCTACTTCCCTGCGGACTTGCCACCCCCCCCTCCCAGAGAGTAGAGTGCTTTCGCATACCCCCGGCGGGCTCATGTCTTGTTGCCCCGCTACCCGTTCGTGCAAAGATGCTCCTCTCGGGACTTGCCTCTCCTCTTGAAACGGGTTTCCTCGGACGCCCTCCGACGACCCTGCAACGCCAGCCTGCCCTATCGCTGATCGTTGGGAGTCGAATACCCCCCAAACTCCCCCCTCTCTCTCGCCCAAGAAAGGACTTGGCTTGAATTGCCTCAGCGCATCCACGGTCGGCTGGCCGGCTGCCAACGAGGTGGTGAGCTCTTTTCCGACCCTCCTCTCCCCCACGCCCCCCAGGAAGGGAACACCCTCAAACCCCCCCTGCCATGCCATTTCAGGCTGCCGCGCAGCTCGTTGTTGTGTCGCTGCCCCCCCCCGCTCTTGCCTCTCGCGCTCCCTCGACATCGGAGCGCCCCCCGGTCACCCCCCGGGGCGATGTCATTGCAGGCTGCCCTGGCGCATGGTTTCGGGCCGCGTCCCCGTGCGGCGCGCTCAAGGGATGCCCTCCTGTGACATGCGTTTGTGCTTGTTGCTGCACGAAAACCGTAGACTGGTGCTGAGCTGCTTGTTGCGTAATGAAGGCTGCCATGAAAGAATTGGGATCCAGGTTGGGATCCACTTTCGTGGTTGGTGACGTAAGCTGGCTGATGGGCGCTGAGGACAGTCGCCGGTTGTGTTGCCATCTTGGAGCGTGCGGTCGACAGCGGTGTCACAATGACTTGAACCGGTTGCCCTTGTTGTCGTGTGCGCGCGGCAACCGCCGGAACCACGGGAGCCACATATGCGGTAGCCTCCCCGCTAGTTACGACAGCGTTCTGCAATACTTGCAGGTAGAGCCTCCCATCCTCGGAGGGAGATCTGCTTCTGGAAGGCGGCTCACTCCTATTGTCGTCTTGGCCAGTTATCGGAAGTTGATGAGTGACCCCGCCCACTGCAGGTACATCGCGCTCACTGTCCGATCGTGCAGCAGCATCTAATGCTGCCGCAAATTGCCTCGCCGGTCTTGTGGTTGTAGTGCGGCGCTGCAAGATAAAGGGCATCTTGATTTGCAAGGTGAGTTATGGCATGATACTTTTGAGAGAGCAGGTTTGCGTGCTTTCAGGCTCAACGGACGTGCTTTGTTGGTTGCTGTATGCAAAAACAGAATCTCACTAAGCTGCATCATGCCTTCAATTAGAAAGACTATTTAAGCTCACTTTTCTAGGGTGTTTGCTCCTCAACTCCTTATCTGTTTTCTGCCTTGAGGGGGGGGTCTCCGCCTTGGGGTCTGGCGTTTCTCCTGCTCCCATGGTTGCTGGCCGTTTGCTGCCTATATCAGGAGATCCAAAAGCTTGGTTTCCATGTGTTGCAGGACCTTGGGCCTGAAGCGCATCATGCTCGCGTTGGGTTGAGGGATGCCCAAGGCTACAAATGATAGGAGCGGCATCGCGCTCGAAACGTTGAAATAAGTCGATGTGCTCGCAGACATGCTCAAGGACCTTGATATCAGATGTGCCCTCATGGAGTTCAAGATGGACTCGAATATTACCCACAAGCTGTTTCAACCTGATCCATTTGTCCTTTTGGGTTTGGGTGTATCGACCCTCTTGACTGTGCGTGTGCTTAGTTTTTGGGGCCATCCTCTCGCACTTGGACTTTTCTTGTGGAAGTGTCCGACGCCTACGCTGAAGGTTCTGGGCTCAAGTTCTAAGCTCCTAGCTTGTAGTGCAAACATTCACTATTAGTAATGGAGTCTTGAATCTGATTATTGAGCTGCATGCCTTCAGCAGTCATTCATTGAACACATCTGTTGACATGAAAAATACCGTGGGCACGGCGCAGTGCCTCACAAGCTTTACCCAATGTCGGATGCTAAGTGCACGCATCTTCATGATGATCATGGACGGTCCCGTGATGCGTTGCTTCAATGAATTGTGCCTCCCAGGTTGCCTGGTATTCGTCTCACAATGTGAAACGCCACTACCTATGTAAGCACGCAATGTTACGGCATGTGCCAAGAACCGTACCCTCTATCATTGATGCTATCCTGAGTTTGTCAGTGTAGGTACACTTCAATGTTGAGACTGACGCACTGGTACGTATACGCACAATTACGGTAAAAATACAGTGCTCTGAGCGGACGATGCATACGGGCATTAAGTGTGGTAGCCACAGTGCTGACCAGTGGACTCAGTCATGGCCCAATTCCGCCTCGCATGACAACAGCCGGTCGCGCGCACGATATTCATTTGTTGCAATATCGACCGTTCGATCGATTAGTCAACGCGTACGGTCTATCGGACGGTTCCGAAATGCAAATTCCAAATTTGGCAGGCGTTGACCGGCGTGGCGATCCACATGTCCCCCTCCCGGATGCGTATCTGATGGTACCCCATCCGCAGATTCAGGGTTGAGAAACATTCGCTCCCCCCAGGCTCATCGAACAACTCGTCCGCCACCGGCATGGGGTACTTGTCCGGCACCGTCTTGTCGTTGTGCCGGAGGTAGTCCCCGCAGATCCGCCGCTCTGTCCAGTTCCCTTCTGCGTCCTTCTTCCGTGGCATCACCGTCGACGCGCAGTTTGGCTCCTTCACCCCCGGCGGCAGCTTCAACCTCGTTGTCAGCTTCGCCGCCTCCCGTTCCTCGCAGTAGGCCTTCAGCAGCTCGTGTTCGTACTGGGAGAACCGCCGGCGGGGCGCGAAGATGGGCTTGTCGTCCGTCAACTCCACTTCGAACTCCACCCCCTCTATCGCCGTGTCCAGAAACGCCCTCCTCGCTCCCATCCGCACCTCAACACAAACAATCAGAACCCCACCAAGCCACCAAGGGGCCCCAACGCAAGCAAAAGCTACCAAATACTATGGCAAGGTCCAGGTCTCTTTCCAATTACCAACCTGCAGCAGACACTGCTGCAGTACGAAACCCTTGTCCCAAAAAAGCAAGCCCAAAAGAAAACGTCAAATGAGCAACGGCCAGAGTGACCCACAATGAAATGCCAGCCTCCGAATGTGAATACTGAAACTCTGAACCCGCCCGCTGAACATAAGCCCCTCTTCAAGAATCTCCTCATTCGCTCGAACGTGGCTGGAGATGGAAACTGCCTCTTCAGAGCTTTCCTTCGAGCAACAGGTCAAGATGATGCAAATCACCTCCAATCGAGACGTCGATGTGCCCAACACGTGGCTGAACATTGGGAACGTTATGCAGACAATGTCAACCACGCCCACAATGAGGCCCTAGAGTTTGCAGCACGACAGATTGAACAGCCATATAGGACAGCAACTGACTACGTCAAGTGGATACTGTCAACGACAAGAACAATATGGGGCTCTGACGTGGAAGCCTATGCAGCCGCTGAACTCTTTGATGCCCCTCTACTCATCTGGACGTATGCCACAAAAAGACATGGCTTCCTTATGAAGTTCCCCCACAAAATGCCCTACCCCACGTCGAGGTGCAATCCATCTACTTCACTCAGGTATCCACTTCGACGCCCTTCTTGCATCAACAGAAGCCACAAACCTTCAGCAGACCCAACTACTAGCTGCAAAGAGTAGAAATGATGAAGCAGAAAGATACATATGGACGACGCGCCGACCCCAATCCACAATGAACCAGTCAGTACTCCATCGGATTGCAGTGAGAGAAAACCAACACCCAACTCGTCCAGCAGAATGGCTTTTCACACAACACTAAAAGAAACAGCCCAAAATCCGTTCACCCTGGCAATGCAATCAGCCACCGGCTCAATCACCAATGAGAAGCCTCTTGAAAAGTGAACTTGAAAAAGTCAAACCCAATCCAATTGTGCCACAGCCCACAAAGCTCAAAGCTGACCAACCAGCTTCCAACAAGCGCAAACTACTCAACTTTATTACTGGTCCAGGTGACAAGCTAAGCTGCCAGCTACGAAACGTCTCTGCTCTGCAATAAAACTGGGTCGATCTTGCTGATCACCCGGCAGCCCCCCGGAGCCCGATGTTTTTTGGAACCAGAGCGATCCACACGAAACGCAAATGCGCGGCCACAGAGCACTTGCAACAATCAGCTCCAAACTCAACCACGGAGCCACACGAAATCTTCTCGAACAAGCACAAGCCTGAGCTGTACTCGGAAGCTCTACCAGTTGGGAACCGACCAGCTGGATCAGCTACAACCTCCGAGTCTCGAAAGAGACGTCACAGAAGAAGACCGGAGGCCTATATCTACGTTGGCCTAAGCCCGGTTAGCAATGACCGCCTCTGATAGCCACTCTGATCAGCATCAGTACCCCGGCAGCTGGCCAGGCTGCATGCACCACGCGAGCGCGCAGCCCAACATCGCGGCTGGTGCGCGCCGCGGTCCCACCGTGATATTGGAGGGTTTAGAAGGTTTCCTCGGACTGAGAACTTCACTTCACCAGCATCATTTACCAGTCATACATAAACAGATTGCGTTACCGCGTATGCAAGTCAGCTACCTCCTCTCTGATGAGATGCTTGTGGCCAGATGATTGTAAAAAAAAAAAAAAAAAACAAACAAATGTGAGCGGTGCATCACAACCCCCCCCCCCCCCCCCCCACGACGGATTGGCGCCTAAGAGGCGCCACCCATGCCTGTACCAAATTGTTGTAATGTTATCCGCTCAACATGCTCCAAAGTTTCACCAGAAGAACACCAAATTGGACATGAAGCATATTTGACGATCAAAAGGCTCGTGTCAATTGGGCGTCACTTTGTAAACAGAAGCTAATTTCGCTAAGGAAATTATCCGCTTATACAAGGTAGGAACTCTTAGAGCACTTGAGCTAAGAAACTTGTAGAGAAATTGCTGCCTCAAAACCAGAGAACTGAGAATGAGGGCTAATACGTGGTGGAGAAGTCCACCTTTATAGTGAGCCGTAGCTCTCAGACACAAGATGCAAAACCAGAAAATATCGCAAGACTGAATGTGCTGTGCAAGACTCGAATGCAGGCAGGGAGCCGTTAGGCGAGGCGAAGTAGCTTACATCGGACGGCTCAGAGGTGTCAAGCATGCCAGCTGGATGCAATAACCGTCGAATATGTAACAGCAAAGATCCACGTGTTACAACCAGCCCCCCTTAAATCACCAGTAACGTCCTCGTTACTAACTGGGGCCAAGTTTACAAGGGTCGAGTCAACCCACCTGGCCTCGTGGAAAGGCTGGTCTCGAAAAGAGACTAGGTACTGAGTGCGCACCCGATTTTT